AATGCCTTTGAAAACCTGGCCCTTACTCTATCTGTGCCTCAGTGCGCCATCTGTACAATGGGGATAACAGCACTGCTTGACCTCAGAGGGTGGTAACAAGAAATAGGTTAGACATTGTGAGGTGCTCAGATACTACGGTAATGGGGCCTCATAAGTACCACAGGTAGAGTAGGAACTTCTTTATGCCACTGCTATCCCTTCCCTTTGTTTTGGCCCTTCTTTCCACCTATCCTTCTCATATCTCCCTCTTTTCTGAATGTAACCTTGGCTGTATTTCTTCCATGCTGATAATACTACTTATCCCATGGGATCTCGCTTCAACACCCCCTATGCAGAGGGATACCTGTTTGACAGATCTAGGAACTGGAGTGCCTGGCTCATCTAATGACTTCCAGATCCTTAATTTAATTTAATTTAATGACCAGCCTTTTCTTGTCTTAATCACCCTGGCTCTGTTTATAACCAGAATACTGACTCCCTGCTCCAGGGGTGCAAGCTGGGAGCAGCACCTCTCCTCCGCAGAATTGATTACATTCCACACTCGGGCTGCTCGTTGCCTTTGCCATATGTGTGCACCCAAAGCTACACAAGCTGGGAGCCAGCCCCCTCCTCCCTAGTAAAAGAAACTGATTGCAGGTGGGAGAATCCTGGCTCCTGGAGCAGGGGACCTGCCTGTGAAGCACTGCAGTTAAGAGCTCCGTCTGCGTCTGGGACGTAGACTGTGAGCAGACCTCTAGTACCAAAACTCAGGGGCAAATGCCTCCCCCTGCAACCCTCCCTAAATGGTACACCTGCTCCCCTGGCTGGGCTGATCTGAGAGCTCTACTGTTTCCCCCACTCTCTGCAGGGCAGCCGCTTGGTCCCTGCTCTGTTCTCTGACCCTTGCTTCCAGCCTCTTCCCTCTCCCCCGGGGCTGTGTATGCAGGGGTGCCCTGGCTGCGTGCACTGTGAGGGTGGTGAGTGGGAGCCAGCCCCCAAACTTACCCGCAGTGAGGAGGAGCTGGAGCTGGTCTGACATCAACAAGATGAAATTCACTAAAGACAAGTGCAAAGTGCTACACTTAAGGAAAATGTACAACTATGGGGGAATACCAGCTAAGTGGTAGCACAACTGAAAAGGACCTAGGGGCTATAGTGGAGCACAAATTGAATATGAGCCAACAATGTGATGCAGTTGTGAAAAAGGCTAATATAATTCTGGGGTGTATTAACAGGAATATCATATGTAAGACATGGGAGGTAATTGTCCTGATCTAATCAGCACTGGTGAGGCCTCAGCTGGAGAACTGTGTCCCAGTTTTGGGTGCCACACTTTAGGAAAGATGAGGATACATTCAAGACAGTCCAGAGGACAGTAACAAAAATGAAAAAAGGTTTAGAAAACCTGATCTGTGAGGAAAGGTTAAAAAAACTGGGCATGTTTAGTCTAAGAAAAGAAGGCTGAGGCAGGACCTGATAACTGCCTTAAAATATGTTAAGGACTATTATAAAGAGGCCAGAAATCAATTGTTCTCCATGTCCACTGAAAGTAGGACAAGAAGTAATATGCTTAATGTGCAGCAAGGGAGATTAGGTTAGATATTAGGAAAACCTTTCTAACTATAAGGCTAGTTAAGCTCTGGAATAGGTTGTGGCATTCCAACCACCGGAGCTTTTTAAGAACAGGTAAGACAAACACCTGTCAAGGGTGGTGTAAGTTTACTTGGTCCTGCCTCAGTGCAGGGATCTGGACTTGATGACCTCTTGAGGTCCCTTCCAGCCCTACATTTCTATGACAACTACAAAAGGGACAGGCCAGAGCCACAAACCTGAAGAAGTCAAGGGTCCTTTATAGCTCAAGTCTTGGGCACATGTCTGATTGAATGAATTTCATTATCTTCTCTTATTTTTCTTTCCATGTTTCCTAAGAAACAGTCATATCAGCATTTGTTTATAAGGGGAAGAGATGGTGTTTTTCTGGTTCTGGTTTCCACTCTCTTTGTTTGGAGTTCTCCCTTTTTATTCACTTATGTAAGGATTTAAAAGACCCGTTTTCTCTATTGGTAATGGAAGTTACTGTTTCTTCATTTTGGGATATTAAAGTAACTGAAGTGTCTGTAGGCCCTTTTGTCTTTCTTTCAGACGTGCATCTGGTTCAAAATCAGCAGCTAGGTAAATCTCTTAAACAAGAAGTTCAGATTCAAATTCTTGAGGCATGAAGGATTGTGTCTTTGGGTATGTCTACACTTAAAATGCTACAGTTCTACAGCTGTGCCACTCTAGAGCTTCCGTGCAGATACTCACTAGAGCAATGGGAGGGGGGATTCTCCTTTTAATCCATCTCTCCAAGAGGTGGTGACTAGGTTGATGAAAGACTACATCTGTCAACCTAGCCCTGTCTACACGGGGAGGAGGAGGAGGTCAGCATACCCTTGTCTACCAGAGTTGTGGATTTTTTACCTCCCTGAGATATGGAGCTAAGCCAATGTAAGTTTTCAGTGTCAACCAACCCTCAGACATACCCTGTTGCAGAAAACCCAAACTAAAAATCATGGCTTTGTTCCCCTCAAATACACACAACTACCCAGTTTTGAAATGTAAACCCCTGTCTTTACCTGTTTAATATGAGGGTTTCTTATGTACCTGTGATAGAGAGGCTGGGTTCTAGCACTAATTTATATTTTATGGCAATGGAAAATTGTTGAGAAAAGTTAAAGATTTTAAAAGAGACCTAAGGCTGTGGTCTAACTCCTCTAGTGAAGGACATTAGATATGAGAATCAGAGGTCAATCACCTTGATTGGCAAGAAGTGCCAAGGGAGATGGATATCAAGATGGCCTGCAAAATGCTGGACTTGGAGACAGGAAGGTGTGGGAACTCCCAGAGGAGATAAGGAGAAAACAGACATTCTATGGAAGACAAAAGAAAAAAAGACACTTGCATTTCCTCCAGACAGTAATCCTAAAAAAAACCCTCCTTGTGGAAAAATGAAGGTAACCTCATCCTTCTTGATAATAAATGCTAACACTGGCAACGTGATAAATAGGTTGGGTAAGAAGGGACTTGCTTTCTAGGGATGGAAGAAGTTTCTTTTTCCTTTGTATATAAGGGGAGCCTACCAAAATGGGCTTTGCAAAGTATGCAGAATTAGGTAAGTTATGCAAACAGATTCTTTTATTTTACTATATTTTTCTCTCTATTTTTAATAAATCTTGTTTTTACCAGTAATATGATTCATGAATTATTGGCTGGACAATTTCATGCAGAAAGTACCAGAATAGAGCAAAATCCTTCATCCTCTGGTGTCTTATGGAGTCTATAAATCCTTCAACACTGTAGTATTTGAATCCTAACCTCCCACTCAGCTTCAGTCAAAAGGGCATAGACACATGTCCTCTCCACTAAGGCGCAAAGGACTGCAGTGGCTAAACACAGGGAAGAAACCAAAAGATCAAGAAGGAAACGTATGTATCACTCTGTTATCTGGGCGATATTAATAAAGCTCTTTCCACCCTAAATTCCCTCCAGCTACCAACCAATAAAGACGCCAAATTAAAATTACCACTATTTAGTAAAAGCCAAATAAAGGTGTATCTGGCACCGTACCTGAAGAGTGACCAGATGTGAGCTCAGAGGAACTGCAGAGTAAAGGAGTACCAGAGCAAAGGACTGTCTGTCAAAGTTGTCTTGTCACTTATCCATGGGGACAAAGCAAGTATTCTGACTAATCATAATATCCATAATGTGGCATAAGAGAAAACCCGTCCTCTATCACAGATATATTTTGATGAGCACCTGCTTCCCATATAGATCCTGCTTCAGATGAGCGTTCTCATTTGCCAGTTTTTCTCTTTAGGCCCCTTGATGCTGAGCTCCCCTCCTGTTATTTAGAGAAAGGCAATTCTACAACTTGCCATAGAGAACAGAAGTCCTAGAATTTACAGAAAGATAAAATAAGCCAAGAATAGGCCTATTACAGCAAAATGCTGGTAGGCCATACTGGCCCATATCATCTCAAGCCAAGCATTGCTATAGCATCCAATTGACTGGAAAGTCATGGAGGGGCCTATACTGAAATACACAAACAAGTCAACTTGAAACAAAAATGGAAACACTCTAGTTACAAATTATTTGTGAATCCTTTTTATTTCTCTAGTTTAGAAACTGGTATGCTGCACCAGGCCAAAGCCACATACAAAAACATCACTAGATCATATAAAAGTGGCATCTCAGCATCCTAAATTCCTCATTCCCAAGTATTATTGTCTAATGGACAGATCATTTTCTTAATGATTTTTATTGTTAATTTGAAGTTGATAGGAAAATGTTCATATTCACAGACTATTATGGAAATGCAAAGTTATAGAAAATTACAGTCTCATTTTAAAGAACACGAGTTGAAGGCATGAATGAAGGAACATTTACATTTGGCTTCCACCCATTTATTTATATATTGATGGGGGGAAATATTTTAATTCACATGGCTGAAGTTTGATATGATTTGATTTCTGTAAATCTTAAGTTGTAAATCAGATTTCTGAAATATTTCAGTCTTTGCACATTACAGATAATGCTGAACTAAAAGAGTGGGGGGAAATTAACGTAAAGGCAGAGCTACTGTATTCCTTCTCTCTAGAGATGTAGATATGGATATCCCAACGTTATCCTAACTGAAACAACTGCACAGGGCAAAATCCTGACCCCAATTAAATCAATGGGAGTTTTATCATTGACTTCAATGGGGTCATGATTTCATTCATTTTTATGCATTTATCCACTTGATAAATAGCTTATACTGTGTTTTATTGGACACTGAAATTTGTAGATCTAGAAAATTTACAAGACTATAAAAGGAATAATCATGTCTACCAGTATATTTTATTTATGTTATGTATACATATATGCAGAGATTGTGAAATAGACTACTATTTGGTAAGAGAAGGCAATGTTGGCCTAAGATTTCACTTATTCCAATTGCATAATTTTATTATTAGATATATTATTCAATCATTTTATCTCACTAGGCAACAGCATGCTCATCTTGCTCCTGGTTATCGACAGATTCTTTTGTATCACTCATTCGAGTTACAATAGGTAAGAAGTTGTCTTGGTTTTTTCTCTTGACATAGAAATAGGCTGCACATCCAGATCCTGATAGAATCAGAATGACCAGAATAATTACAAGCCAAGTGATGTTGGTGGGTGATCCAGAAACCTCTTCATCCTTTTTCTCTCCTGTAAATAAACACAAGGCAATTGTTAGACACCAGAATGATATGAGAGATTCCAGGAATATGGGAGTGAAAGGTGATATTGCTAATCACAATTTTAAAAAGCAAGATATGCACATATGTTCCTGGAGATATTTTGCTAACAGAAGTGAAGGAGGAAATATAATAAGTTATACAATATAATATTGTGACAGACCCAGACCAGTGGGGTACAGGAGTCTGGTAGAGGGCAAATATGCTGGTCATTGGATGAGTAGTTTTCTGTTCCCTGAGTGACCAGAGAAGGGGCTGCATTAGAGTAATCAGGAACCTGCTAGAACCAGTTAAGGTAGGCAGGATAATCAGGGCACCTGGGTTTTAAAAGGAGCTCACTTCAGTTTGTGGTGCGAGTGTGAGGAGCTGGGAGCAAGAGGCGCAAGGAGCTGAGAGGGAGAGGGAGAGGGAGAGGGTGTGCTGCTGGAGGACTGAGGAGCACAAGCGTTATCAGAGACCAGGAGGAAGGTCCTGTGGTGAGAATAAGGAAGGTGTTTGGAGGAGGCCATAGGGAAGTAGCTCAGGGAGTTGTTGCTGTCATGCAGCTGTTACAGGAGGCACTATAGACAGCTGCAGTCCACAGGGCCCTGGGTTGGAACCCAGAGTAGAGGGCGGGCCTGGGTTCCCCCCAAACCTCCCAATTGACCTGGACTGTGGGTTCTTCCAGAGAGGAAGGTCTCTGGGCTGTTCCCCAACCCACATGGTGAATCTCTGAGGCAAGAAAATCCGCCAATAAGCGCAGGACCCACCAAGATAGAGGAGGAGCTTTGTCCCAATATATATAAAGTTATATAATATAATAATTAAAAATGAAAGCCAATTTTCTGTATTTAGATACAAATAATGCACATGGTTTTATTATTTTGAAATGCTATTAGTAATAATTATATGATCCAGCAACTTACTCTAAATAATTATTATGCTTTTACTCTATTTAGGTTTCTCCTTACTTTAATTAAAAAGAAAATAATCATACCTTTCCTCTCTGGTGGCTTCTCAGTCAATCCTGTTTTAATACCTTTCAAAAAGAAATAAAGCAAAACATTTATTCCAGATGCACTCACATGGATGGTCTTGATGGTGCCATCCCATAAGCATGAAAATCTGTGGCTTCCACGTACTCTGCTTTTGGTGCTGTTGAACTCCCGTAAGAGATGGAGCTAAGAATGTGTGAAGCTCAGAACGCTTGGCTGTCTAATTCTGGTAAGTATCAGACTCTCTTCAGCTGAGATATGGGCAGGAAATAGGATCTTGCATGATTTCCAATACTTCCTACATCAGACTCTAGCACAGGAAAGCACCTTAGCATGTTCTTATCTTTAAGTATCTCTCTATGGGACTTGAGCACATGCTTAAGTGCTTTCTAAAATAGGAGGCTTGCCGGAATGGATGCCTCAATTGGCTTAGAAATATCACAGGAGTATCTTTGCTCACAATACTAGGGTATTTCTGTTTCCTAACAGCACCAGGTAGTGCAAAGATGCACAGAAATATAAACATGTGAAGTTAACCACACTTTTCTAATTTCATGTTCTGAAGGAAGGTTCTAGTTGGTCTTCTCTTATATAATTTGAACTGGTTCAATCATCCCTAGTATTTCCCCCAAAACTATTTTAATACCAAAGAAGTGCAAATGTTTTCATAAATGTTATTTATCAATGACCTTACAGTACAG